CTCCGTGTTGTAACACTACGCCGCTTGTCCCGGCTCTCACTCCTTCACTCAGGAAACCTGTTTGGCTGTCCCCCCGGGTCGGGACAATGTCTAACAGTTGCATCTGATTCTTTTCTATGGTGTCCAATTCTTCTTTCATATCGTGGAAGGACTCCCTCATCTCTTGGAGCTCAATGTCTCTTTTCTCTTGCATCTCATAGAATTTTGTTACCGTAATATTCTGAACTCTTTCTCTGACACTTCGGCAATATCTTCTCATTTTCCCGACTTGGAGACAGTTACATGCCTCCTTGCTGGAGAGGTGTGGCTTGGTTCTCTCATCCTTGAGGCGCTTCTCCGATTGTTAGTCCTCTGGTAATGCATTTTTTTCTGCCTAACTTGTTGGAGAAGGATTCTGGGACTGTGAGCTTGTGTGTTTCTCTTACTATGAAATAATTCAGGGGCCAGCAAGTGAGATGGTGGTTAAAGGCACTGGACTCCCACATGGCTGACGACGGTTCAAATCCTGGACCTGGCAGCTTGCTTGCTCACTCTCTTTCTCTTTTACTCTGGTCAAATTAAAAAACAACAATAATGATAAATAAAGGAAATATTTTTTTAATTCGGTGCTGTTTTCTCCCTTCTATTGTGTATTCCAGTGCAAGAAAAACAGGAGGAGTTTTGCGATCAGATTTATGAAGGGGAATTTCATGATTTTGCAACCACTACAGTGAGGTGCAAAGAATTCTCTGAAACTCGCAAAGTTCAGATGTTTAGCTACTACACACCTAGTCGTCTCTAGGCAGTGGGTAAGGGCTGAGCAGTAAAACGGGAGAGTAAGGTAAAAGAAAAAGAGTAGGAAATAGAAAGAGGAAGAAAAGGCAAAGAAAAAAGGAAAGTACTCCAAGAAAAAAGGAAACGTATTAGAAAACCTGTTGCAGAAATGAAATTAGGTTAAAAATGGAAAACCACGCACCGCGTGAAGGCCCAACACAGGCAGAGTGGAGAAGCCTTTCTGTCCCAACTAAACCCGGGGTCTGCGAGGGAGCCCTGGTTTGGAGGGGGAGCTTCACAGCCCTGAAGCTGAACCCAGAGAGATCTTGGGCACACACACTCACCTGCCCGGCAGAGGTGGAGAAGCCTGGAGGCTTTCTGTCCTGACTAGCCCTGGGGTCTGCCCCGTAGGCATATTTCACCAAGGATGCAACCCACAGGTACCACTAGCATAGAAGAGAGTCCGTCTGCCACCTGCCATTGCTCTTCTGCCCACCCCCAAAGAACACTGCCAGCCCCTGGCTGAGGTCAAGCAGAAAGAGGGACTCACTGCGAAGGCCCCTTGCTGACTTCACCTTGACCTTAGAGAAGAAAACTGGAAGGCCTCCCCAGATGGGCAGATAAAGCTCCCCGCACTAGGTATGGCCCCCTCCTGGTGTTCCCGCAGCACTGTGTCTTGGCACTTGTGCCATCCCCACCAGGCCACAGACACTGGGGCAGGGCTGTGTCTCCTCACCCAGGTCCCCTTGGCACTTAGAGGCTGTCGGTAAACAGAGGAAAGGGCAGCATTGCGGGCCCAGCATGCAGCAAGAGACAGTTCCTGCCTGGTGGAGGGGGGATTTGGAGAAAAGGAAGCCCGTCAGGACTGGGCCTTAAAAAAAAAATTAGGGCCGGCAGGTGGCATGATAGTTAAGGCAGGTGGACTCCCACATAGCTGACTGCAGTTCGAGACCCAGACCTGGCAACTTGCTTTCTCACTTTCCTTCTCTCTCTGTCTCTCTCTGGTCAACTTCAAAAAATAAAATAAAATAAAAAATAATAACAATAAATAAAATTAAATAAAATATTTCTTTAAAAAAATAAAGTGGGCCCGCAGGTGATGGATGTGGTGGTTAAAGGCACTGGATTTCCACATGACTGACCACAGTTCGAGTCCCAGACCTGGTGGTTTGCTTTCTCACTTTCCTTTCTCTCTCTTGTCTCTCTCTGGTCAAGTTAAAAAATAATAAGAGCATGAGAGCAAATGGAATTATATTTATATATATTTAAAGTAAGTGGGCCAGCCGGTGGTGTGGTGGTCAGGGTGGCTAGATCCTACATAGCTGATAGCATGTTCATGTCCTGGACCAGGCTGCTGGAAGCAAACTCCAGGAGCGTGTATGTGTGTGTGTGTGTGTGTGCCCAAATTTCTGAGAGGACAGTGGAAGAGAAGGGATTGCTACATGACTACACCCCCCACTTTCTCTTATTCTCTGTGTCTCTCTGTCTCCAGCAAGTGCATGTGCCCTGTATCAAATTTAAAAACAAGAAGTAAGTTTGCACCAGGGTGAAGTGTACACGGGCGGGGCGAGGAAGAGAGAAGAGAGCAGAAGAAAGCCAGAGCAATGCAGCATGAAAGGGTGTGGCGTTTTCAGGGAACATTCCAGAAGATGCAGCAATGGGGGAGGCCTCCCTTGAACCTTGCCAGTTTGGATTCGGTGGGAAGAACATGACTCCCTTGAGTTAATATTATTATAACTTATCATTACGAGCGTTTTGAGTTTTTTTTTTCAAGTGTAATCATTTTAAGCCACATATTCTAGCTGGTGGAAGTATTCTGCCACTTCTCTGATGGCGCTGTTCCGGCCTGAAACACCCACCTTTGCTTTGCATTTTCAGATTACGGCCCAGAACTGCCCAGTCTCATCCGGTTGTGTCCAGCCACATATGGTGTGGGTCACCTGAAACATGGCTTGTACCAACAAAGATGTCCTGTAAACATAAAGTACCTGACACCAACTTCTTAAGACAGTACAAAAAAAGAAGAAGAAGAAAAAGAAGAAGAATGTGGAATAATTTGGGCAGACCCCATAACCTAGTGGTTAAAGGGAGCTGGACTCCACGCTGCTGACCAGGCACTTTGAGTTCTGGCCCGGAGACTGAAAACATACTGGTCACGTGTTTGCGTGCCCTAAATCCCTACAGGACGGAGAAATGGAGGAGAAAGATTGCAGCGGGACCACACCCTCGAGGGGTGCTTTCTGCCTCTCCTTTTCTGTCTCTGGTGAGCACACACTCTGGTAGCTAAAAAGGAATGTACATCACCACGTGCTGACTGTGCGGTTTGAGTCCTGGACCCGTGGCTTGAAAAACACTGGGGGAACCAGCAGCTGGTAATGGCTATGTCGCTGGACTCCCACGTAGTCGACCACGGTTCATGTCCCAGACCCGGTGGCTTAAAACTCACACTGGGCGCGTGTGCGTGCGTGCCCAAGATCCCGAGAGGAGAATGGAGGAGAAGGGATTGTGGCATGGCCACCCCCCCTGAGGGGTGATTTCTCACTTTTTGTCTGTCTCTCTCTCTCTCTCTGTCTTTTGGGCGAGCGTACTTGCCCTATAGCAAAACCTCTCAAAAAAAATAAAATAAAAGGGACCAGCAGTTAGTGTAATGGCTATGTCACTGGACTCCCACGTAGTCGACCACGGTTCATGTCCCAGACCCGGTGGCTTAAAACTCACACTGGGCGCGTGTGCGTGCGTGCCCAAGATCCCGAGAGGAGAATGGAGGAGAAGGGATTGCGGCATGGCCATCCCCCGGGGGGTGATTTCTCGCTTTCTGTCTCTCTGTCTCTCTCTGTCTGTCTGGCGAGCGCACGCGCCCTATAGCAAAAACCTCTCCAAAAAAAAAAAAAAGGAAGTTATTGTTTTAGCTGTAAATGGTTGATAAAAGGTATCTTTCTTTCGAATGACTAGTGAGAAGACATCCTTTTCACTGATTAGGAATAATAAATTCATCAGAATCCTGAAAATAACGTGTCTAAAATCTATCATCTCTCTTTCTGTTCCTCCTCTTCCCTTCCCTTCCTGAATGATTTGAAATAAATTCATTACTAGGTGGCCTTTATTTATTTATTTTGAGAGAGTTTTGCTATAGGGCATGTGCACTCACAGAGAGAGACAGAGAGACAGACAGTGAGAAACTGCCCCCCCCAGGGTGATTTCCATCCCTTTTCAGTCCCTTCTCTGGGGATTTTGAGCCCCCATGCACACACACCCGGCATGAGTTTTAAGCTGCTGGGTCCAGGACTCAAACCGCAGTTGATTACGTGGGAGTCCAGTAGTCCAGTGGCATTACCATTACGCCATCTGCTGGCCCCTAGGTGGCCTTTATTAAGTACCTAATATGTGCTAAGTATTATTGTGTTGTCACTCCATAATGTGTATTTTTTCCTTTTTCTTTCTTTCTTTTTTTTTTGCTAGAGTTTCCGTACTTGCCAGAGAGAGAGCGGAGAAAGCATGCCCGGTGGAAGATGACCGTGCCCACAATCCTTGCTCCTCCATCTTCCCCTCCTGTCTGTGCTTTGGGCGAGCGTGCACACGTGCCCGGAGTGTCCATCGAGTTGCTGGGCCCCAGACTTGGGCTGTGCAGTAAGCCACAGGGGATCTAGCTGCCGGAACCACCAGGCCAGCTTTGTGTTTCAAAACATGGCTTAAGCAGTTTAATAGCATGATTAAAACACAATATTGCAGGGGGTGGCCATTTTTCCTGTAAAGGATCAGAGTATTTTAGGCTTGTCAGGCAATATGGCTGCTCTGCGAGTGCTCAGCTGCTCCAGTGAAGAGCAGCCACCCGCAGGGTATAAAGACTGGTGACCGCGTCCCAGTGAGACTTAGCGCTTCCAACCTTCAATCTGTCATTGCATAACATCTTCACATGTCACAGAAGATTACTGCTCTTTTGATTTGTGTCAGCATTTACAATTTAGAAAACTAGGGGCCAGCAGGTGGCCTGGTGGTCAAAGCACTGGCCACTCCCACATGACTCATCACAGTTCTAGTCCTGGACCTGGTGGCTTGCTTTCTCGCTTTCCCTGTCTGGTCAAATTAAAAGAAATAAAGAAATATATAAAATTAAAAAATAAATAATTATTTTTAAATTTAGAGACCTGACTGTATTCCCAGGGTGGTGGGGCAGGTGTGGCCTGCGGGCTGGAACTGCTCCCGCTGACACAGGTGTGGAGAACGCAGCACCCCGTGGGCGGCATTACCTGAACCCGCTCCACCGTAGACGACACCACGGGCGGAGGGAATGCGGGCG